AGGACGAGAAGGCAGTTCTTGCCCCCTCCTCCCCTTTTTGCGATTTCTTACCCCTTTTGCCCCTTTTCGCCGGTAACCCCTCCCGCGGCCCACTTTCCCGAGGAGCATCCCCTCGGCGGAGATATTCCAGCCAGAAATAATCGCCCGATCCTGAATCAACCCCTTTTCCCTCAGGACCCCCCGCAAAGCGGGCGCTGGTCCCCTTTCGGGGTGGTCTTCTTACTTATTAATCGCGCCAAGGACTCGTCCTTCATGTGGTACCCATTGCTCGGACTATTAACAATGCAAATGGCATTCAGCCCCGCCAGACGGAATAATGCAAAAGTGCCGGGCGTGTAAACAAAATGCAGAAAAATTGCTCAATCCTCTGCCCCGGGATTGCCTCTCTCTGGCCCCCCTCCTCGATGGAGATGCGACGCGCTATATAATTTATCTCTTTATTCCAAGGGAAGCACCGCCATTATCTCGGACCTCCTCGGATCCCATGAATCGCGGGAGGCTGCCTCCGATTTTCCCCATAGGTGCCCAAACTTTCGTACATTTAGATGGAACTCTCGAATTTTGCGGTTAAGGTGAAGTGAAACACGTCGAGGAACTTGATCGACGTCGATAAAGAAGATTTTTCTAAATGCCTACGTTGCCGACGTTGGTTTTTATATCGACAGCTGGGTCGAATTATATTGGGTATTGTACCAAATGGCATATTCCACCTGTCGTTTTCGTACAATAATTATAAAGAAATCGAAGTAAAACTCCAGAAATCCTCTGGATTCGTGCTTTCTGGGGCCCTAATTGACTGCGGAGGGACCCCCTGCGCCATCTGTGATTTCCAGGTCAATTAAATTTTCACTCCCAGACCTCGTATTACCATCGTTTTAGCAAAGAAGCGCATACAACACTTTTTTTGCCTTTATCCCGTTGAAATGCGAGTTTATCGACTACCAGAGTATTCTAAATTCTCGTAAAATTGTCCTGACCCTTTCGATTCTCATATCAGAGCCTTCGATAATTGTATATCGATCGAAATATCAGAGCTCGACGCCATTTTGGTTCTGGTCTGGACTGAATTAAAAAATTTGTTTGAAAAATCTAAATTTTCAATGTGTCAGGACAATTCTTAGATGATCAGGAGTGATGTGTCAAAGTTTCGGACAGTTTGGTCTTTTACCCTTAAAAAAAAGTGTATTAGAATCGACTGATTCGAAGGACGTTTCACTTCACCTTAAGCGTCGATTCCGCTAAGCGGCCGCATCTTAATCCGCACGCACACCGGGACCAAGATCCTTCCCTCTTGGGGTGTATCCGGTGTACATATGTACGAGATATATACTGATACGTGTACATGTATATAGAGAGCCATTCTCACCCTTCTTCACGGTTGACAGGACGGATGATTGATCGCATCATCAAACATCTTGCCACATTGTTCACCAAACCCCCCGGCCATCTTTATTAACTAATTCCGCCTCCGTGGCGAGAGGGGCGAGTGGCCATTTTTTTTCGAAGAGGAACAATCCAACCCGATAAAACTCAATTTAACCCTTTACAATATGACGAGTCAAACTAGAAACGCGAATCCGGACGAAACTTGGAAATCTCGAATCGGATTCGTCAATCATAAGAAAAAGAGAAATTCAGGGCGCGGCAAGTGAAGCTCCTGGGTAATTGAGAATTATTATTGATCACGTGAAATGTTATTAATTAAAATTTTGTAAAAATAAATAGGAAGCGCTTCGATTTTTTTTTTTTTTTTTTAGTCGGCTTTGGGGGACTCTCTGTACATGCACCTGGATTAAGGTGAAGTGAAACACGTCGAGGAACTTGATCGACGTCGATGAAGAAAATTTTTCTAATTGACTACGTTGTCGACGTTCGTTTTTATATCGATAGCTGTGTCGAATTATATTGGGTATTGTACTAAATGGCATACTCCACCTGTCGTTTTCGTACAATATATATCAAGAAATCGAAGTAAAACTCCAGAAATCCTCTGGATTCATGCTTTCTGAGGCCCTAATTGACTGCAGAGGGACCCCCTGCGCCATCTGTGATTTCCAGGTGAATTAAATTTTCACTCCGAGACCTCGTATTCCCATCGTTTTAGCATAGAACCGCATACAACACTTTTTTTGCCTTTATCCCGTTCAAATGCGAGTTTATCGATTACCAGAGTGTTCTAAGTTCTCGTAAAATTGTCCTGACCCTTTCGTTTCTCATATCAGAGCCTTCGATAATTGTATATTGATCGAAATATCAGAGCTCGACGCCATTTTGGTTCTGGTCTGGGCTAAGTTAAAAAATTTTTTCCAAAAATCCAAATTTTCAATGTGTCAGGACAATTCTTAGATGATCAGGAGGGACGTGTCAAAGTTTCGGACAGTTTGGTCTAACACCCTTAAAAAAAAGTGTGGTATTCGAATCGACTGATTTGAAGGGGGTTTCACTTCACCTTAAGAGGGAAGCGTGTTTCTGCGAGGTAGAAATTTCGAAAAAAAGGGGAAGAGGGGAATGGGGGGACGGGGAGACGGGGCAACGTTCCTCGTTAAAATACCGGGCATGGGGAATTCGCTAAAATATGAAAAGTACGCAGCCGGGCCCCGTGGCCGATGCAGCTGGGAGCGGGACAAGGATTGGCACAAGGATCGCGAAAGTTTCCTCGGCGGATTCCTTACAAAGTCTGACTTATTTAGCCCCCGGGTGCCGAGAGTTGCTCGCTGGTGGAGGCGGTGAAACGTTGAAAGGACCAAATGCTCTTTTGTCGGTGCCCTCCGCCGCCGCCGCTGCGGAACTTTATTAATTGCGCGTTTTGTTATGCAAATTTCCCCGGCACGGGCATCGCCCGCTGCCGGGCGGCGTTTCTTTAAAAGATTACCCTCGAATTCATCGCCGTCGATTGGGAAACTTTCGGGCTCTCTTTCCTTCTCTCTCTCTCCTCATGGCTGTACTTCCGATCTCCTCGCATTCCGGAGCTTGGAGCTTTTTGGAGGGAGATTCAGGGTCCGCGTGTTACTCGCAAGCTCGCAGGAGCGGGAAGACCCTTGAAGAATTTTTCTCAGATTTTACAAATCCGAAAGAACCCACCTTTGTATAGGGTTTCTCTGATTTTAATAATCACGCCTTTCATGCGTGGTAAAAAGTAGTTCATAGAATAATAAATACCTGGTAGAGAAATTTTCAGGGGTAGTTTGAGTAAAGAGACTTGGCGCTCCATTTTCTCTCGTGATCTTGTCGGAGACGCTGGCGCGATACAAATCCGAAAGAACGCACCTTTGTATAGGGTTTCTCTGATTTTAATAATCACGCCTTTGATGCGTGGTAAAAAGTAGTTCATAGAATAATAAATACCCGGTAGAGAAATTTGGAGGGGTAGTTTGAGTAAAGAGACTTGGCGCTCCATTATTTTCTCTCGTGATCTTGTCGGAGACGCTGGCGCGATACAAATCCGAAAGAACGCACCTCTGTGTACAATTTCTCTGATTTTAATAATCAAGCCTTTGATGCGTGGTAAAAAGTAGTTCATAGAATAATAAATTCCCGGTAGAGAAATTTTCAGGGGTAGTTTGAGTAAAGAGACTTGGCGCTCCATCATTTTCTCTCGTGATCTTGTCGGAGACGCTGGCGCGACTTGTGACTTTCTCGGGCTGTTTGAAAATTCTTAATCACGTTCTGTGGGATACTTCTAGGGGAAAAAAGTCTCATAGAGGGTTTCGTGGTGTCTTGGGGACGACTTTAATCCATCCTCCGTGAAATCCCGCCGTTCGGCACCTCGGGTTCCCTCCGGGGAGAGTCGGGCGGCGTTGTTTCTGTAACAATGCGGCACTCAGCCGCGTACCGAGTCGTTTGATCCATTGATAATTGAGCGAAAGGAGGGGTAGAGAGTAAAGAGGAGAGGGATAGAGGAGACCGCCATTCTCCCGGAACCACGGCGATCATTAGTCAGGCCGAAACGAAATATCCCTCCGGGAAATATGCCATAATAACGGCTTAAGAGCCTCGCAGATGCTACCCTAACCTATCTCTTCTTCGCCGATACGTCCCGCCTTCGAGTCGGGACCGAAAGAATGGAGAACGATCTCTTTCCTCCCCTTTCAGCATTTTCCGAGACCCGATCGCTCGTCACAAAATTCAAGACGGAGAAAAACCGAGATAAGCCTATTTTTACCGTGCATTACCTCCATAAACGGAAAAAAGAAAAAAGAAAAGAAAATGAGTGCGCCATGAACGTCTCTGATATTTTTCAAAGCTACCTTTACATTTATTTACCTCTAAACGTCAATACGCGAAACGTTCAAATAGTCTCAATACAGCCTCGCGGTGTATACAGAACGCGTTTCACTTTTCGTTTCACCCGCGTTGTTCGTTAGGTAAATTTATTCCAAAAAAAAAAAAGAAAAAATATGTAGAAGCAATGGGATTCGCTTCTTTATTTCCCGTTGAGAGCTGTCGGGTATGTCGTGTTAAACCAAGGCTAAAAAATAAGGGGGAATAAAATAAATCGCAGGTTCCTTCATACGCCGACAGACAAAGCGAGGGCTCGGAAAACAGCATTCGCGGAGGAGGACGAGAAGGGAAGCGATATACATAACCTGCGCCATATACAGGAGCAGAACGCGATGTCCGTATATTAAATAGCGTGCATGGTTCACTAGTCAAATTGAATCCCGGGCTATTGGCAGATTCTCAATAAGCTTTAACAATGGGCCTCGAGCTCGTGCACCGGGATGTCGCCTCGCCATCTCCATCTTCCTCTCGAGGCGCCTCTCCCCTCTCCCTCGAAAAGTCGAAAACACTCAATCTTACATGACTCATAGATTAGATAAACATTTTAGACATAAACAGAGTAGCCAAGCAACTTTAAAGCTCTTCGCGAGATTCGCCTACCGCTTGAAATGATAACTGCGTGACAGAATGAATCGAACATGTCGCAGAGATAGAGAGATATACACGACAGGAGGAGAGAACGGGGAAGTGTCTACGTCATTTATAAATACCAGAGAAGTGGAGGCGCCTCGCAGTAGTTTGCGGACAAGCGAACGAGTAACAGGGAGGAGTCCATCATGGATTTCCTGACGGCGTTCTTGGCCGTCCTTCTAGGACTCCTAGGAGTGTATTACTTCGCCTTCCGCTCTCTGAACCATTTTAAGAAACTAGGGATTCCCTATGTTCCCACCCTCCCACTCGTGGGGAACATGGGGCCCTTCTTGTTCAGGCTGAAGCCGATCGCATCGGTCATCCAAGACGCCTACGATCTCTTCCCAGACGCGAAGTACGTCGGTTTCTACGACGTGGGGAACCCGGTGATCATCATCCGAGATCCCGAGCTGATCAAGACCATCGCCGTGAAGAACTTCGACGATTTCCCGAACCATCGCGCCTTCCTGGACCCGGAATTGGACCCCCTGTTCGCGAACAACCTGTTCTCCCTGAGGGACGACACCTGGAGGCAGATGAGGACACTGTTGAGTCCGGCGTTCACCTCCAGCAAGATGAAACTGATGTTCAAGCTGATGTCGAAGTGTGCCGGGAATTTCGCGGACCATGTCGCAGCCGGGAGAGTCGGGGATAAGAACGTGGTGGAGACGAAGCTGGCGTTCACCAGGTACACGAACGATGTAATCGCCACCTGCGCCTTCGGCATCGAGGTCGACTCCATGAAGAATCCGAAGAACGAGTTTTACGTCCTGGGAAGAAGGGCGACCAATTTTGACGGCATACTGTCCTTGAAGATGTTCATGTCGAGGAGCTTCCCGGGCATCAGCAAGGTCTTCGGCATCAAGGTGGTGGAGGACCGGGTGGCCAGGTTCTTCAACGACATCGTCGCGGCCACCGTTGCTACGAGGGAAGAGAAGGGGTTAACGAGGCCGGACATGATCCAGCTGATGATGGAAGCTCGGGGGAAGGACGGGATGCCAACCCTGGACATCGAGGCGATGACCTCCCAGGCCTTCGTCTTCTTCTTCGGGGGCTTCGACACCTCCTCGTCGCACATGTGCTTCGCCGCTCATGAGATCGCGGTTAATCCCGATGTTCATGATCGATTGCAGGCAGAGGTCGACTCCGTGCTCCAGGAGACAGGTGGGAATCCTACATACGAGGCCATCAACGCCATGGAATATCTTGGGGCGGTCTTGAACGAGGCCCTGAGGATGTACCCCATAGGCCCTTTCGCGGACAGGTTGTCTGCCAGGAGCTTCGAGCTGCCTCCTGCACTGCCTGGTCTGAAGCCCATCACGATAGAGCCCGGGACCAATGTTTGGTTCCCGATTTTTCCCATCCATCGGGACCCCCTGTACTATCCGAATCCTGATAAATTTGATCCCGAAAGGTTCCTCGGCGAGGACAAGATCAACACCAGCAACAGCGCCACGTTCCTGACCTTCGGCCTGGGGCCCAGGATATGCATCGGGAATAGGTTTGCTATATTAGAAACGAAGGTCGTGCTTTTCCACCTGCTGGCCAGGTGCAACCTGAAGCCCTGCTCCAAGACCACCTACCCCATGGTCTTCAGCAAGAAGTCCTTCGCCATGTTGCCGAAGAATGGCTTCTGGCTCAAGTTCGAGCCCAGGGAGAAGACGTATCTAAGTCCTGCAAGCGATTGACGTCACCTAGATTTGTAATTCCGGCTAGATCGGTATTGCGCGACATGTATCAACTTTCAATCATTCATTGAACATGCAAAACGTCTACGTGACACTTAGAAACGTTTCCGCCTCGTTTCCCATTGCCAATGTCGCAGGCAACGAGATCGGTTACGGACTCGCATGTGTGAAGTTTATGATATAAGAGGTACATAGTACGTATACACATACATTTGTATGCAGCATGCGTAGGACTCCCTATCAGCGTGATGAGATTACACTCACTGCGTCATCGAGTGCAGATGTACAATCATTTCAAACGCATCTGAAGCCTCTTTCCTGGAAACAGTTCAACATACTCGTAAATGTAAAAATTGATAAAGTTGAACAACCGCTATCAGATGCAATGCAATAAAAGTATGTAATCAAAGACTGACGCTCTCACCCGCCGCACTTGTGATCCAATCAGCTGTTTACGACTTGACATTAATATCGCGCAGTACTTTTCCTGGAAACTGCACTCCAACGACTTTTACCGATTACCTTCTGATGAAGCTCCCCATTTTGAAGACCTTTTGCGCATCAATTAGCGCGATCGCTCGGGGAATTATTTATTCTCTTGAATGTTGAAGACGTCTACAGGAGCATGACGCAACTCCTGAAGAAAGTTTGCGTCATGCCAGGCGAATCCGCGGCTTTAAAGAGTATGGTTGTTGGGTGCTGTGGCAGTTGAGCTTTAGCTTCGGATAAGTAAGGTGGTGTCTGGAGTAGTGCGCTTAGAATTGATCTTGTTGGACAATGGATCACTTGAGCGTGTTGCTGGCTTTCGCCGTGGGGTGCCTCGGCATCTACTACTTCTTCTGGTACTCCTTCGGGCATTTCCGGAAACTAGGGCTCGCCTACATGAAACCTATGCCCATCGTCGGGAGCATGTGGAAGGTGACGATCCGACGCACGTCCGTGGCCGACATGTTGCGGGAGACCTACAACAAGTACCCGGACATGAAGTACATAGGCTTCTACGACTGCAACGACCCGGTCTTCATGGTAAGAGACCCGGAGTTAATAAAGTCCATCGCCGTGAAGAGCTTCGACAGCTTCCCGAACCACAGACCAGTGGTCGACCCGGAGATGGACCCGATCTTCGCCAAGAACCTCTTCTCCCTTCAGGACGACAAGTGGAGGTCCATGAGGACCCTCCTCAGTCCAGCCTTCACGTCCAGCAAGATGAAGTTCATGTTCAAGCTGATGTCGAAATGCGCCGCCAAGTTCGCGGACCACATCGCCTTGGAGCAGAAGGACAAGCCTGGGAACAAGGAAGTGGACATGAAGATGATCCTTACGAAGTACACCAACGACGTCATAGCGACCTGCGCGTTCGGGATAGACGTGGACACCATGAAGAACCCGGAGAACGAGTTTTACCACCTAGGGAAGAAGGCCACGAGTTTTGAAGGAACCGCTGCGCTCAAGTTCTTCCTGGTGAGGACGTTCCCTGGGTTCTGCAGGCTCTTCAACATAACCTTCATGGACAAGAGGGTGAAGGACTTCTTCATGTCCGTTGTCGGGTCCACGGTGGCCACGAGGGACGAGAAGGGCATCACCAGGCCTGACATGATCCAGCTGATGATGGACTCCAGGGGCAAGAACGAGGACCTGGACCTCGTGGAGATGACCTCCCAGGCCTTCGTCTTCTTCTTCGGCGGCTTCGACTCGTCCTCGTCGCTGATGTGCTTCGCCGGCCACGAGATCGCCGTCAACCCTGAAGTCCACGAAAGAGTGCAGGCCGAGGTCGACGAGGTGCTCAAGGAGAGCCATGGGGATCCCACCTACGAGGCGATCAACTCCATGGAGTACCTATCCGCGGTGTTGTACGAGGCGCTCAGGATGTACCCGGTGGCTCCCATGTTGGACAGGGTCTGCGTCAAGGAGTTCGAACTTCCCCCAGCCTCCCCTGGGATGAAACCCGTCACCCTGTACCCGGGGTCCAGGGTGGGCTTCCCGATTTTCGGGCTACAGCGGGACCCGAAGTTCTTCCCCGACCCTGATAAGTTCGACCCGGAGAGGTTCCTGGGCGAGGACAGGATCAACACCGCCAATTCTAACGTCTACCTTCCTTTTGGATTGGGTCCCAGGATGTGCATCGGCAACAGGTTCGCCTTGCTCGAAAGCAAAGTCGTCCTGTTCCATCTTCTCGCCAGGTGCAACCTGAAGCCCTGCTCCAAGACCTCCAACCCCATGGAGTTTAGCCGTAAGGCATTATCCATGATGCCGATGAACGGATTCTGGCTTGACCTAGAGCCCAGGGAGAAGACCTTCCTGTCCACCAGCTCCTAACAACGCGAAGAGCACCCTAAATTCAGATTGACTTTCCTTCGGAAGGAGACATTGAAAATAATTGTGCTTTAATTTCTGCATGTTGAATACTCAATTAATCGACGCGATAACGATACCAATGTCTCCTTTGACTCTTCCGTTGTACAGCTATCTTCCTCGCAATTACGAGAATATACCATTTCGGTTAATTGACTGCTTCTGCAATTGCGTCGTGCGTTGACATGTCCGTCACGTTTCGGTAAATCCCGAGGTTGGTTTTAATTCATGCGCACCTAGGAGGAATATTTTCCTGGCTTTGTCAATACCGAGTTAATGTATGCCGATGTACGCGACAGGTAATGGCAGATGCATTGCGTGTACATACACGGTATGAACCACGTGTCGCCTTCGAGATCAATTGAACGCTCGTTAGTCCGGCGTCTCAATGGCGGAGTCAAAGCAATTCACCTCACACTTGACTCGGTCAAGAATAAACATTAGAGTACCGGAGATGTTCCTTTCTGCAATACCCGTGACAGTGAACTCTTAAAACAAAAACGCGACGGCAGATGAACCAAGTGGTAATTCATTTTGACGATTAATGTCTCAGTTGCTGGGGAAAAAAAAAAAAAAAAACAAGCTGGTAGAGGTTACGCGTCATTCGCTGGTTTCGGTGTTAGTGACAATACCAATGCTTCTACATGTTCGTCGGAACCCACGTGCGACTTTTTCGAAAGGCCTAATATTTATCTGACCGATGTAGAGGCAAGGCTAAAGCCAGACGAGACGTTCTCCACGGGATTGCTTAATGACGGTCGTTGACGCACCAAGATGGCGGCCGCGCGTCCTAGAGACGCCACCTGAAATAGCCTACTGCATATGGATTTAAAAAGAAAGGGGTGAAGGGTATTCTAGATTGAGATTAAAGGTCCATTTACCTCGCCCAAGACGTATCGGTTGCGACGCGTATCGGGTCCGTAACGTGTAGGATATAAATCGATCCGTATATGTGGAAGCAGCGGGCGGCCATCTTGCGTTGCGCCCCGTTTATACCAAACGAATTTAAAACTAATTCACGGTACATAACTATTATTATACACGTTCTAGCGTTATTTGTATCGTATATGTATATATATATTTAGCAACGACATTTTTCACACGACAAAGGTAATTCCGACTAGACCATATTCGTATATATAATCGCATTTCGTAGTTGAGAAAATCGGGGCTTCCGGGGAATCGAATTTTGGGGAGGTTTCGTCCAGTTGGAATTCTAGTAGAGATTTTTGGTGGGGTATTCGGTTGGTAAAACGGCGATTAGGGGAGGGAAAGGGCGTAATGGGGCGTCCCGTTCCGCTCGGCGAACGAAACTCGGGCGAGAATGCGAAAGGAGCATCTCGCAGCTAACCGTTCAGCCTCCTTTTGTCTCGGGGCAAGGGTTAGTCATCTCCTCGGAGGCGCCTCGCCGGGGGCGACTCGGTTCCCAATAATGGCGGAACAATGACTGGGGACACCCTCGTGGGGAGTAAACGGCGCGGCTTTGCTCGGGACGGCGAGACAATGCGGCATGGCCGCCTCGCGAGATCCAGAGTTCATCAATTTCGAGCGCCCTCCCCTCGCGTTTCCCTAGACCATGGAGAGGGAATTACATTAGACGGGGTAGTTTTATCGAGCATGTACACCTCGAGCTCGGGTCCGCCATTTTGGCCGATCGGGAAATCGCTTATCGAGGCCGTGATAAGGAGCGCGTCTAGTTCGACGGTCGCGTCGCGCCAATTAGGCCGCCGACGCGCGCTCATTAAAGGGCCATTCGCAATGCCGGATCGCGTGTCCACGAGCACTCCTTGCCGGAATATATTACGCGTGTCCGCACCTGCGCCCGGCCCACGCGTGACTGCCCTACTAATCTTCCTTTTGTCCGCCATAATCGGGGATCACGCCGACGTTAAGGGCGTGCGCGCGCCGGAGAGAAGGACTCTTCTCGTGGCGCCGCGGGGCGGGCTGTTTTGGAACTAAATGAGAGATTCGGTACGTATGTCCAGTATTAAAGGTGGCTGATTTTTTAAATAACGCTCCTTGTCGAGGGCGTCAAGAGGTGTATATTGAGAATTTTTGGTCTCGTTAGTCTGACAAGGAAGGTGCCTGAGGTATCCCCCTCCGATTTTGTTCATTTTTAAATATGTTATAGAGGATTAAAATCTAAGGGACCCGTGTTTTTTTTTTTATCAGCGGATAAACACATTTAGGGGGTAAAATCAGGCTTCAAAGTTGGCCGTGCAGGGGGGTGAGTTGGCTGTTTCATATAGAAGCACTCGACCGATTTTCATGAAACAACCGTCAAAATGTAGGGAATGATGAATTATGAAATATGCATTTGGAATTTTTAGAAAAAATTCATTTTTAAGGGGTGAGCCACCCCTTTCAATACTTCTTTTACCCCTTACGCGAGCAGTAATTGCTCTATCCAAATGAAACATGGTTAATTTATAAACCAAAACAATACAAAAAAAGTCTCATTTGGATAGAATAATTACTGCTCCCGTAAGGGGTAAAAGAAGTATTCAAAGGGGTGGCTCACCCCTTAAAAATGAATTTTTTCTAAAAATTCCAAATGCATATTTCATAATTCATCATTCCCTACATTTTGACGGTTGTTTCATGAAAATCGGTCGAGTGCTTCTATATGAAACAGCCAACTCACCCCCTTGCACGGCCAACCTTGAAGCCTGATTTCACCCCCTAAAAGTGTTTATTCGCCGATAAAAAAAAATCACGGGTCCCTTAGATTTTAGTCCTCTATAACATATTTAAAAATAAACAAAATCGGAGGGGGACACCTCAGGTACCTTCCTTGAGAGATTTTTTAAAATGACGTTCCTCGTTGAGGATGCCATGTAAATCTAGAAAAGAAAAATATATGAGATTATTGAATGTAATGTCAGAGTGGTGTAGGAGGTATGCAACATGTTACAACACTCGGGCATGTAATTTAATGCTAACCGGACATGTAGAAAATTTCTTTCCACGAGACGCGCCTCCCCTGCGGAAATTCCGAAATCATCGGCGAAATCCCGCGCGCTTCGAACTCCGAGACGGCAAAAGCCTCCGGTAATTCGATACGCCCTGGGGGTCTGGTGACGCGATTTAAACTTTGTATTCGCACTCGAGGACCCGATCAACTTCTAGTCCGCAGTGGCCGGTGGGAACTTCCCTCCACGGCCGGATACGGATTGCGTCGGGGATGTTTCGCATCCTTTGACGCATCGCCGAGGGCCGGATCCCGAATTCGAGGTTAGGTGCGCTTCCGGGCCGGAGCCGACACAAAGGAGTCCTCTGGACTGCTATCTGCTGGACCGGAGGTTCGAACTCGAGAAGAAGCGCATCCTCGTTTGTCGTCATCATCGGTCCCGTGACATAGGAGAGGAAAAAGAAATATGCCCAACGCGCTCGAGTCTCGATTCAAAAAACGATTCGGTCCCAATTATAGGAAATTCCTCTCACCTACGCGATTCCGGGTATCGGGATTGTTAATTATGCGCAGATGGCTCCGCGGGAGAACCGCACACCCCCCGCGAACCACCCGTCCGAGGAAACAAGATTTTATTCCGAAGTTTCCCCTCGCCCGGGAGCCGAGGAGGGAAGGAGCGCCACTCGAGGCGGAGGAACAAAATTCATTTGGCCAAATTAAACAGAGTTTAGCAATTTGCGCTTAATCCATTTGTCGGGGATCCGTCGTCCGTCAGTCCGTCCGTCTGGATGCTAGGGCTCCGCGCGCGTCCACCCCTATCGGACTCCCTCTTCCGCCCGTCGGTTCTCCTAACCTCTTTCCACTTTCCTTCGTAGTTCGCCAAGCCCTATCCCGACTGCGAATTAGAGTCCCGTCGAGGTTCTCTTGATTTTTTCATGCTCCTCCTGTCCCTTTTTCGCTCCTGCAGGTTTTGAATCCTCTATATAGGGTTCTCCCGATTTTTTAAAGCTCTCCTTTTGTAAATTTAGAATTCCCTGCCCATTCCTATCGGACTCCCTCTTCCGCCCGTCGGTTCTCCTAACCTCTTTCCACTTTCCTTCCTAGTTCGCCAAGCCCTATCCCGACTGCGAATTAGAGCCTCGTCGAGGTTCTCTTGATTTTTTCATGCTCCTCCTGTCCCTTTTTCGCTCCTGCAGGTTTTGAATCCTCTATATAGGGTTCTCCCGATTTTTTAAAGCTCTCCTTTTGTAAATTTGGAATTCCCGATCAACCCTATCTAGGTTCTTCCTGGGTGCCTGAGTTGATTTTCCTAACCTCTTTCGACGTGCTGTTCTTTTCTTCCGTTTCCAAATTTGGAACTCACGATCAGCCCTTCCCTCCAGGTCCTTCCCCTTCGTCGATTTTCCTAACCTCTTTCCACCTTCTCAGCTCGTCCTGGGACCCCGATTCCCTCCTCGCACCCCCTGAGACCTCGTAACTCCTCTCCTCGGACCTCCCCGTTCCTTTGGCTTCTATCTTATTATCACGGAATTGTTTCCGTTCCTCCCGGGAGCGAGACCAAGCAGCGAATCCCACCTAAGTGTATTGGCAGTTGCGTCCACGTTTCATTTTCATTCGATCATCCTGGAACCTCCGGGACCCTGGGCCGGCCGCCATTTTGGCGTCCTAACGATCGACCACCGGTGGAAATTTGACAACGATCTTGCCCACTCTTTACCCTCTCTATGCCAACCCCTTCAAGACTCCAATACCCATAGAACCTGAAGAAACAAAATATAATTCTAGTATCACAATTAATTACCCAGATTTCACTTCAGAAAAAAAAAAAAAAAATGGCGTCGCCCATCTTCTACTTAAAGGAAAAAGAACGCAGGAAACCGAGGTTCCGCAATCTTAAAGAGCTCATTTTCAAGCATGAATAATTTACCGCGGTCATCTCGTAAATTTCTTCATGGAAGTGAACCAGTAGTCAAACTATCTTTCGCTGGTCGTTCACCTTTTTTGGGGCTTTTTTCGACCGGCATCCGATGTCTGCAGCAATGTCTCGGTGGTATCGTGAAAATAGATAAAGCGTTTAAGTCACGGCGAAAAGATTCTCTCAGCTCAGAAGAGCTTGACCACTCCGTATGCTAATAGTCGATAAGGGGACCAGAAACGAGCAAGTTGGGTTCCATCTCGGTTCTCGTCAGGATTGTTCCAAAGAGTTTCGACTCGACGATGGACCATCTCAGCGTGTTGCTGATGTTCCTGGTGGGATGCCTGGGCATTTTTTGGATCTTCCGGTATTCCTTCACGTACTTTGAGAGCCTAGGTCTCCCATGTGTCTCGAAAATGCCCATCTTGGGCAGCTTGTGGCCCTTCATGTTCGGGTTCACCTCCGTGACAGACATCCTCGGCAACGCCTACAACGAGTTCCGGGAGATGAAGTACATCGGCTTCTACGAGTTCAACAGTCCAGTGTTCATAGTAAAGGACCTGGACCTGATAAAGTCCGTCGCCGTGAAGAACTTCGACAGCTTCCCCAACCACTCGCCCTTGGTCGACCCGGAGATGGACCCGTTCATGGCCAAGAACCTCTTCGCTCTTCGAGATGAAAAGTGGAGGCAGACAAGGAGCTTGCTGACCCCAGCTTTCACGTCCAGCAAGATGAAGTTCATGTTCAAGCTGGTATGGAATTGCGCCTCCAAGTTCGCGGACCACGTCGCCTTGGAGCAGAAGACCAACCCTGGAGACAAGGAAGTGGACATGAAGACGATCCTGACGAAGTACACGAACGACGTCATAGCTTCCTGCGCGTTCGGGATAGACATCGATACCATGAAGAACCCAAAGAATGATTTTTATGTCCTGGGGAGGAAAGCGACGAGTCTTGAAGGGCTCGTCCTGGTGAAGATCTTGCTGATGCGGACCTTTCCTGGGTTGTGTAGGTTATTGGACGTGAAGCTGACGATCGACCGGGCGAAGGACTTCTTTATGTCCGCTATTGCTTCCACGGTGGCCTTGAGGGACGAGAAGGGCATCACCAGGCCCGACATGATCCAGCTGATGATGGAGGCCAGGGTCAAGAACGAGGACCTGGACATCGAGGAGATGACCTCCCAGGCCTTCGTCTTCTTCTTCGGCGGCTTCGAGTCCTCCTCGACTATGATGTGCTTCGTCGCCCACGAGATCGCCATTAATCCGGATGTCCAGGATAGGTTACAGGCCGAGGTCGACGAGGTGCTCAGGAAGAGCCCTGGGGAACCCACCTACGAGACGATCAACTCCATGGAGTACCTCACCGCGGTGCTGTACGAGGCGCTTAGGATGTACCCGGTGGCTCCCTTGTTGGATAGGGTCTGCGTCAAGGAGTTCGAACTTCCCCCGGCTTCGCCGGGGATGAAACCGGTGACCCTGTACCCTGGGTCGAGGGTCTGGCTCCCAATTAGCGCCATCCAGAGGGATCCCAAGTACTACCCGAACCCTGAAAAGTTCGACCCGGAGAGGTTCCTCGGCGAGGACAAGATGAACGTCAACAACTCCACCGTGTACCTTCCTTTCGGTCTAGGCCCCAGGATGTGCATCGGCAACAGGTTCGCCCTGCTCGAGAGCAAAGTCGTGATTTTCCACCTGCTCGCCAGGTGCAACCTGAAGCCCTCCTCGAAGACGTGCATCCCCATGGAGTTCGGTGTCAAGGGCTTCGCCATGCTCCCGAAAACTGGATTCTGGCTGAACCTGGAGCCCAGGAACAAGACGTACCTGTCTTCCAACTCCCAGACTCAGTAATAGATATCTCCTAATTATATACTTGACATTTCTCTGATAATCAACATGAGATTGAAAAATAAAGTGGTTTCGTTATCGGTAGGGATTTCCCTATCTCCTCTCATTTCTTAATCTCGACGTTGACATCTTCCTCGGGATAACGAATGTTTACCTCGTCGGCCAATTTTCGGGTCGTCTGAGGCTGGCCGCCATTTTGGTACCTGAAGAAACAAAATTGAATACAATATTACGCGCGGTTAGAGTTAATCGCCCAACTTCAGAAGGTCACCAGTCAATTTTAATCTTAGCTTAATTTTTTTCGGTGCAACGCGAATTCCACTAATTCAAGGTTAACTAATCATAGTTCAGGAATTTAACACTAATCGCGGTTGGTGCAATCGGTCCAAAGTATCCGAATCGAAGTCTACTTCTGAAAGAAATGGCGCGACTTGCTTACGATATATCTTGAGGAAAAAAAAGAACAAAGAATCCTGAAGAGTAAGCAATCTTGAAGAGATGATCCCGAAGCATTTAATAATTTGCTGAGGTCATCATTCCTGAGACGTTCTTGGAAGGTCATCATACCAGTCGAATTATCTTTCACGGGACGATCGCCATTTTTCGGCTTTTATTTTCGACCGAGAAGTGGAGTAGCGCCTGAATGGCCGCTCTTCTTCCGCGCCTCGAATGTGGGCAGCGTCGTGTCGGTGATATCCTGTAAATAGATAGAGGGTTTACGTCACGTCGCAGCGATTCACTCGGCTCGGTAGAGCGTGGCCATAAGGCTCGGTTCCAGTCTCTCGTGCCACCATCGACAAGCAAGGTGGACTCCATCCTGAACCCCGTTCACCAAGTTCGATTCCAAGATGGACCCCTTGACGATGTCCCTGACCTTCCTGGTGGGATGTCTAGGCATCTTCTACTACTTCCGGTACTCCTTCGGCCACTTCAAGAGACTGGGTCTCCCGAGTGCCTCGGCAGTGCCCATCCTCGGCAGCATGTGGCCCTTCGTGTTCAGGTTGACCCCCGTGGTCGACTTGCTCGTCGACGCCTACAACAAGTACCCAGAGATGAAGTACATCGGCTTCTACGACTTCAGCAGCCCCGTCTTCGTGATAAAGGACCTGGAGGTAATAAAGTCTATCGCCGTGAAGAACTTCGACAGCTTCCCCAACCACATGCCCGTGGTCGACCCGGAGTTGGACGAAATCTTCGCGAACAACCTCTTCTCCCTTCAGGACGATAAGTGGAGGCAGATGAGGAACCTCCTGACCCCGGCGTTCACCTCCAGCAAGATGAAGTACATGTTCAAGCTGATGTCGAAATGCGCCGCCAAGTTCGCGGACCACATCGCCTTGGAGCAGAAGGACAAGCCTGGGAACAAGGAAGTGGACATGAAGACGATCCTGACGAAGTACACGAACGACGTCATAGCGACCTGCGCGTTCGGAATAGACGTGGACACGATGAAGGACCCGAAGAATGATTTTTACGTCCTGGGGAGGAAGGCCACGAATTTTGACGCGCTGATGTCGGCGAAGTTCTTCCTTATGAGGATCGCTCCTTGGTTGTGCAAGTTGTTGGACGTGAAGCTGATGGACGAACGGGTGAAAAAGTTCTTCACCTCCGTGGTGGGGTCCACGGTGGCCACGAGGGACGAGAAGGGCATCACCAGGCCCGACATGATCCAGCTGATGATGGAAGCCAGGGACAAGAACGAGGACCTGGACATCAGGCAGATGACCTCGCAGGCCTTCATCTTCTTCTTCGGCGGCTTCGACACGTCCTCGTCGGTGATGTGCTTCGCCGCCCACGAGATCGCCGTCAACCCTGAAGTCCACGAAAGACTGCAGGCCGAGGTCGACGAGGTGTTTAAGGAGAGTCATGGGGACCCCACCTACGAGGCGATCAACTCCATGGAGTACCTGTCCGCGGTGTTGAACGAGACGCTCAGGGTGTACCCGGTGGCTCCCATGGTGGACAGGGTCTGCGTCAAGGAGTTCGAACTTCCCCCAGCTACACCGGGGATGAAACCGGTGACCCTGTACCCTGGGTCGAGGGTCTGGTTCCCGGTTTATGCCATCCAGAGGGATCCCAAGTACTACCCGAACCCTGGAAAGTTCGACCCGGAGAGGTTCCTCGGCGAGGACAAGCTGAACGTCAACAACTCCACCGTGTACCTTCCTTTCGGTCTAGGTCCCAGGATGTGCATCGGCAACAGGTTCGCCCTGCTCGAGTGCAAAGTCCTGCTTTTCCACCTGCTGGCCAGGTGCAACCTGAAGCCCAGCTCGAAGACGTGCATCCCCATGGAGTTCAGTGCCAAGGCCTTCGCCATGCTCCCGAGAACGGGATTCTGGCTGAACCTGGAGCCCAGGAGAAAGACGTACCTGTCTCCTGACTCCCAGTCCCACTCATAGGTTTCCCTAATTAAACGCTTTATCGTCCTCTGATAATAAATATAAGATTAAGAATTTAATTAGATTACTCATCGGTACCGACTCCGCTATCTCCTCAGATTCCTTAATCCCGACGTTGGTATCTTCCTCGGGGTGACGTGTGTTTACACCGGCGACCAATTAACTCGTTTAACTGATTTGCATTTGTGAATAGACTGCTGGCTTGGTATCACTTTGCCGCGTCATGCTGTAGATGAACAGCAAGGTAATTCTTAACTCAAATGGAACTTGGGAATATGTTTCCTCGGTAATACTGTAATGTATGCCGAGAGGTTATGACACATGTACTTGTAGGTACCAATCATCGAGTGTCACCTTCTTCAAGATCAATTGCATAACCTCCTATCAGCCGTCGCAATAACCGTGTCAATGTAATTTCCTCTCATCAACTCGATCCAGTAAAGTATACCATTTTACTCTGGCGCTCTAAACCTAGTAATATTCCATTCTGCAGTTTCTGCAATGTTGAAAAATAATAGAGGTTAGGTAACAGGAAAGAAACATTGTGTACCAAACCTGTGGTTAACGAAGTTTGATTGTCACTCCCACCGCTGGGAGGGGGAAAATAATCGAGGCCGTTTCGTTTTCATCGAAATGTGAGTGGATACGCACTCCTACATGTATTATTTCTCCCGCAGGGAGTTCTTTTCGGCGTATCGACTGGTATTTATCTTCCAGATTGAAGATCAAGGTCTGTTCGGGCAAACGTCCTCCACTGGATGATTCACGGCACATGACGCGTCCAAGATGGCGGCCGCGCTCAGGGTCGCCTCGATGATCACTTACAACACCCATTTCAACATATTAAATACAATTTACCGATTCGTTTGCGATTAATTAAGTCTATTAACAGCTTCTCGTCGATAATACTCACAATTGGTACTTATTGAAGCGCCAGGTTAAACTTTGCAGACATAACTAGAGTTTTGCGCCTAAACAGTCTCGCCTCGACGATCACTTACAACACTTATTTCAACATATTAAATACAATTTACCGATTCGTTTGCGATTAATTAAGTCTATTAACAGCTTCTCGTCGATAATACTCACAATTGGTACTTATTGAAGCGCCAGATTAAACTTTGCAGACATAACTAGAGTTTTGCGCCTAAACCGCGGTTACAACACTCCACACTTATAGAGGTGAAAGTGGCGTCAAACATGTCTCGTTTATGTAACTTTTTTCCGAACAGGATGTACCGAATCGTTTAAAACTTTACACCATGAACATAGAGGCTGTAAAGAAGATCTCGATATGGATGAAATTTAATTATTGAAAAAATTCGTTTATGGTTATTTATAAAATTTTGCATTGCAATGTTTGATAGAATTCGATGCACCCTGTTTGAAGAAAAGCTTCATGAACGATTAACGTCTCGAATGCCACTCTTACATCCTCTTATGTAGGTTGCAATTGGCGCAAAACTCTGGCACAGTTAGAGCGTAATGCAGTTGCTTTTTTGACGATGTGTCCTGAAGGAGGCGAAAGGAAAATCCGAGCTGAAGAGTGGGCTTCGGGAAGGAATCCAATCGGGACAGAGGGCTAACGCTAGTAGAACATTTAATAAGCCAGCCAGGGAGCGCCATCAGCCAATAAGGAGGTCCGCTGGAAAATTGGAAGTCCGGGCAGGGGGCAACGTATTGGTAATTTGCGAAGTTAATAATATCGCGCCAAAGTATTGGCTCGTGCTTCGGTGCTCAAAACCGGAAGTTCCGTTCCTCGCGTTCTCCAGGAGGGGTATTCCGAGATTGGAGGGCGCCCACCCCCTCCTGGAAGTTCTTAACGATGATAAATTGAAAAACTTTCATTGTCACTTGGGATTTTTGCGGCACTAAACCGCGGCCCCTCTGCCACCCTCTTCGGATCCAATTTCTCGAGGACTATCTCTCTCGGATCGATCGGTGGAATTAACCGACGAGATAATCTGACCGGAGGTCCTCGATATAAACTCGCCTCGAATTCGGAACTCGACTCGGATTTGGACATCGAGTCGATGAAGGGCTTAACGCCATTACTGGCAACGCCTAATAATTTCCGAGCGGTGGAACGAGCCCTGGTAAAGGTTAATAGAGCTTACAGGCGAAATGCAGTAATCGTATTTGCCTTTATACGAGCTCGAGCTGGTATTAACGGTTAGTCTTGTACTGCGCCCTGCCTGGAGTTGCCAACCTCCTGGCCAACCCTGGCGCTCCTAACCCGGGGTTACCTCCTGACCCCGCAGTTGGCCCGCCGACTCGGCCCTCCACGTTTGCCTTCGCGTTTATGGCGCGAGCGGTGCCTCCAGGATCCCCTAAGCCCGGGAACACCTATTAGATACGCTACTCCCAAATTACTTGGTTATTTAAACAACGCTCCGAGGCTTGGCTAACGAAATACCCCGCGAGGGTCATGGAACCGATCCGTGGTTCTCGGATTCGAAGGAGAGGCCATTATTCTCTCATTGTCAACCATTGTTTAGAGCCCTGAGAGACTGGAAATAATTTAAGGCCGCACATGAACGTCCTTCCTCTACTAGCGCTTTTTCTCCACTAAATTATCACGATTCGCTCGTATAATTAATCTTATTTTAATCATCTCTCATTGTGAACCATTGTTTAGAGCCCTAAGAGACTGGAAATAATTTCAGGCCGCACATGAACGTCCTTCCTCTACTAGCGCTTTTTCTACGCTAAATTATCACGATTCGCTCGTATAATTAATGCTATTTTAATGATCTAGGCTTGGCAGGGCGCTAAAAAAATACCATGGATCATGGATATACTCGTCTCTCGGGTTCATGGGGAACGCCATGAAGCTCGCAATCCATTCGTAGGGGTGTCAACAGCCTTCCTTTACGAAGACATACTACGCGGAATTACTTAGAGTCCCACATAACTGCGGAAATATCTTTAGGAACCGAGATCGAGACTCGGGGCAAGTCTTTCATCACTAGCGCTTTTTTCTCCCGCAAACTATCGCTCGTTGCCCATAAAACTAATGGAATATGGGTGTAGGAGCATTATGTCGTGTGGCGTTGCGACCTACATGTCGCACCCCTCAACACGCCTCAAACGAGCCCAGCTGATATTCCCGCATTTATGCATAATTTATGGTGATACTGTGGATCGCTTATTAAAATAAAAACCCCACTAAGTGTGATTATTTCTACTCTGAGGAGAAAAAAAGAAACATCCATTTAACCAGAGAAATATTTTGTTAATTCAAATAATAAGTTCCTTCGGGTTTATATTCGAGTTCTTTGCAGTAATAAAATATTTCTTTGCCACCTTTCCTAGAAATATTTCTTTGGCTTGACGAAATTGTTTCTTTCCTTCTCAGGGTAATCGATGCAACTTCGCGCCGGGTGGGAGGACTTCGTCGATGGGACTTCAAGCCTCCGTAGAAAAAAAAAAAAAAATATAATGGACATCGTAGGCCAGGTTGGCGACGCGTATTCTTGGGGAATTAACACACATTCGCGCTGTTATTGCTTGAGAATACACGTAGTTTGCCTAGCCGATCACATCAACCGCCGCACAATTTCGCCGAGGGACGAAGATGAAGAGATAAAGGCCTGCACGATACGCCTGTACTAATTGCGAGGACGATGTAACTTCTTAACATTATACATGTGCATAGATGTTTATATATGTAGCTTGTATATGTACCGATTAATGTATTGGAGCCGAAATAATTATATTTACTGGCGTCGCGTCGCGTTTTGCCGGCCGCCATCTTGAATGGCGCGAGTTACTTCAGAGGCCGCCAATAATTGTGGGTATTGGGGATGTTATGTAATTGTTATTCAGGGCTACTTCTTAATATTACATATGTGGATAGGTGTTAATACATATATAGCTTGTATATCTGCGGATCAATTAGTGTATCGGTGTAGAAATAATTACATTTAGGGGCGTCGCGTCGCGTTTTGCCGGCCGCCATTTTGAATGGCGCGAGTTACTTCAGAGGCCGCCGATAATTGCGGGTATTGGGGATGTTATGTAATTGTTATTCAGGGCATCTTCTTAATATTACACATGCGCATAGATGTTAATACATATATGGCTTGTATATCTGCGAATCAATTAGTGTATCGGTGTAGAAATAATTACATTTAGGGGCGTCGCGTCGTTTTTCGCAGTCCGACATTTTGAATGGCGCGAGTTACTTTAAAGGGTGCCGATAATTGCGGGTATTTCCAGATGTTGTGTAATTATTATTCGGTGTTTCAGTGGGTGGCCTCGAAGGTCGCGAAATTTGCAAGGGGACGGTCGATAAGTCAAGGATGCCGAAAGTGCCGAGGAGGGAAACTCGGTCCCCAAAATTTAATGATTTTTCGTCCTGAAACATTTAGTGGAACGGTCATGTGCATAGATGTTTATATATGTAGCTTGTATATGTACCGATTAATGTATTGGAGCCGAAATAATTATATTTACTGGCGTCGCGTCGCGTTTTGCCGGCCGCCATCTTGAATGGCGCGAGTTACTTCAGAGGCCGCCAATAATTGTGGGTATTGGGGATGTTATGTAATTGTTATTCAGGGCTACTTCTTAATATTACATATGTGGATAGGTGTTAATACATATATAGCTTGTATATCTGCGGATCAATTAGTGTATCGGTGTAGAAATAATTACATTTAAGGGCGTCGCGTCGTTTTTCGCAGTCCGACATTTTGAATGGCGCGAGTTACTTTAGAGGGCGCCGATAATTGCGGGTATTTCGAGATGTTGTGTAATTATTATTCGGTGTTTCCAGTGGGTGGCCTCGAAGGTCGCGAAATTCGCAAGGGGACGGTCGATAAGTCAAGGATGCCGAAAGTGCCGAGGAGGGAAACTCGGTCCCCAGAATTTAGTGATTTTTCGTCCTCAAACATTTAGTGGAACGGCCATTTAACACCCCTCGAGGAGAAGTTGAAGTATTAAGCGAGGGCGGGCGTCATACCAGCGCCACTGGAAACAGCCTTCTCATTACTCGGCCTGTTAAGTTTTCAACGAAGCTTGCAAAGCCAAGGCTCCACCTAAAGAGTGATTTATA